AACTCAGCACTAGCCTCCAGGGTTATGACTCGGTTGGAAACATTCACAACTTATTAATTATTGGGTAGCACCTTTTTAGTGGGTAGCATGCTTGCGTTCTGCCCATGAACTCCCGGGTTCGATTCCCAGTTGGGTCGATGGATTCGTATTGCTGATGAGACCCAACCAGGTCGAAACAGCTATCCAGTGCTTTCTAGCATTTCAGTTTACGCTTCATTTGCCATATACAAGACGAATTCCCATTTGAAATTTAATCAAATTCTCTATTACTCAAATGAAATAATTTATTAGTATAGTAATTACTGTGTTCTCTTATGGTCACCTCTTTCACTCATCTATACCTGAAATTGCAAACAACAGCGGTACGCTGTGATCTGGATCAGCTGAAGGCAATGACTCCACGAAATGGATTTCTCTCTAGCGCCCGGAACTATATGACCGACCGTTTGTACGCGCAACATCAGGTCAACGAATTCAACTACTATGGAAATGTCATCAGCATTCGATGCAATAACGGCTATTTGTATGGGGATAGAACAACAGAAAAGCAAGTAACCTGTGTACTTGCGGATGGTTCGAAAACTCAAGGCGTTTACCAAGGCTACAGTGGCACGATTCTACCCATTCCCGATACTTGTCAAGGTCAGTATGCGAAATTGTTTATTGTTTGGATTGTGAAACCAAATAAACTGTCGAGCACTGATTGTCATTAAAATGGCATTATTTCAAAGTTATAAACCAGTGATAACCGGATATTCACTCGGTGGAAGCCTGGTAGAGGGGGATAATACTCTGAGCAAGATGGAAGTTTTTTATTTCCAACTTTCATATTGCTTGCAGTAGGCGAAATTCCACATCGTATATCATGGGATATTATCCATGAAAACTAGGTCTATTGAGGTATATATGAAACCAGTCGTCACCAACACTGTCCTAGTCGAGGTAGCCATTAAAGTATTGCTTGCGAAAGAAAAATATCCGGTTTAATATATATGGATGACAGTGTGAGATTAAACAGCACTTAATTAGCTAGGCATTCTTGTGGAGGCGGTATTTTCACAGCCTACGCAATGTTTCAGTGAGACTTCACCGGATGCCAGTTGAATAATTCCCAATAATTTTTATACCTACTCATGAGTAGCTCAAAATAGATTCATAAAATGAGTGAACTTACTGTAAAATAATGTCTACAGGTTGAAGAACAATGTCTCGAGGACAATAAAATAGGAATTTGAGGTGATTTCTCGCTCAGGGGACGACACCATGTTATAGCTGATAAAGGATTGGTAATTCATTGGGTACTGGGAGGTGGCGCGTCAGTCAATCAAATCAGTCA